GGGGGGGGGGGAGTATGCCCTGCACAGTTCCCCAGTCCATCACCGCGTGAAACAAATATTTACCCTGACACTTACACCTGAGGTCAATTTAATGTGTCCAATTAACCTAATCCTCAATCCGCATGTTTTTCGGCTGTCAGAGGAGAAAGTCTAGAATGAAAACCCACTCACACTCCAGTAAAAACATGCAAACTCAACACAGAATGACCATCAGTTAGTGATCATAGAACCATTTCTGAGCATAGAACCATTCATCATCTTGTAGTGTCATTCAGCCCATGTGGGAGTGAGGGTGTCCTACTAAGTATACTACTAGCATAATGTGCTTTTTGTTGCACAACATGCCAAACAATATATTTTAATAACTGTCAGAGGCTTTCTTTTTAACTTCTTTGTTCTTTAGAATCATAACAATACTCTAAGGTTCACACTTCAGTTATTCTAAATGTTTGTGTAGATGTGTTGTTACATTTGTTCTGGTAAAATTTAAAAAAATTGCTCTTTTTGTGTTGACGTTTCCAAACTACGTCTTTCATATATCACACTTTAACTATATACGTATATAAATTTATATATATACAGTATATATATACTGTGTGTGTATATATATATATATATATTAAGTTCCACCTACTGTACCTTTAATTTTAGTTTGCGTATTTTATTCATGCGTGTCCGTGTGTGTTCCTTTAACTTGAACATAAACATCTCAGGTTTCGTGATTGACAAATATCGGTTTATTTGTCCGAAGTCACAGAATACTTCACTACGTCACTAAGTTCGTCACCTCGGTATTTGACTAAAAGTCGGCACTGGTTTGCTCTCAAAAACAGCAATTCCCCTACTGTACCTTTAATTTTAGTTTGCGAATTTTATTCATGAGTGTCCGTGTGTGTTCCTCAAATGTTTTCCTCAATCTCGCGGCGCGTTCACGTCATCGCCCACCCCCTTCATCCTTAAAACTGCAGCAACAACTACCCCCTCCTCGTTGTCACTACTCGGATCAGTGTTTGCCGTGCAGCTGGAAACAGAGCCGACGATGAGGCAGGAACTGGCCGCTCTCCTCTGTCTCCTCGGCGCTGTTGCGCTGTCGAACTGCGCGCCCCCGACCTGCTACTCCAGATCGTTGACCCTCAGCAAAGAAGTCATGACTCTGCTGGATAGAATACACACTTATCACCGCACGGTAAGTTGCTTTTAATTTGTCACTGATATGCAGAACATTTATTGTTGTATTCGGAGCTCAGTGACTGTGTTGCTAATGATGCTGTTCGTGTTACAGAAACCCTGCGCTGAATTCCTGCCAACCATCTTCATTGACGTGCACGTAAGTTTGAAGCTACAGTGATTAGTGATCACATGACAGGACAAGTCCAGATTAATATTGTTCCTTTTTTTCTGGACATGTATTTATTATAAATTAAAGCTAATACAAGGACGTGTTTGACGCTCCACAACATGCAAACTTAGAGGTTTTTTCTTATGGCTGCAAAATTGTGGCATGAGATTTCATCAAAGTACTTTGGTAATTTTATTAAGAAAATGTAAACTTAATTTATTAGATTAAACTGATTTTATATTTATATTTACTTTTTTATAGAATTCAGAAACAATTGCTTGAAACAACTCTTGACCAAGTATTGGTTTATTTCTGTGAATAGAAGAAAAAGAATCACAATCGACTTTTTGTTAGCGGTAGCCACAGTTAAGATGGGAATATAAAGGGAAATACAAATGGGACAACTCATAATCTCAACTAAATACCTTTATTTTAAAACACTGTAAATATATTTTTAGTAGTCATCATGAAGATGTAGTCATTGACAACCACTGTCAACTTTTCAGAAAGATATAAAAAAAGACATTAGACCCAGTAACAGACGATGCGGTGTTTGTAATCACAAACACACATGACGATGATTTAGTTGCAGTAGAATCAAACCAATCTGTCGTTTTGATTGGTTTTCCATGTGACCTTTTTTTTCAATAATAGTCAATGATTTGTTACAATGAGTGTTTGTAAGATCAGAATAAATGTACTGGATCAGATCCAGCGTCTGTAAACATCCACTGGCACAGGCAAATACTTTTATATGAAACATTGAAATAATTTCATTGATTCAATAAAACTATAAGTGGGAAACAGGTGACGCTGACATTCATAATGAAAACTGTTCTTTTATCTTCTGCAGAACTCATGTGTCACCACCAAGCTACGGGACTTTCTCTACGTGCTGCTCAACCATCCCAACCCGTATTGCAAAACTCGCCCCAGGATGGTGCTGCTCAAACGAAAAGTCCAGAACCTGCACACCATCATCACCAGACTCTGCTATCGGGTGAGAAGATCTCCTTCTCCTGCTCTCTCCTTGTTGTTGTTTTTACCCAGAGTGACTCGTGACCACGTGTGTGTGTTTTACTTTGGCAGGACCTGGTGTTTTTCACAGACGACTGTGAAGCCATAGATACTGGTCACAGCAGACCGTACTATGGAGAAGACAGGCTTCAGTTGTTGCAAGAAGACAGATGAGCCTGAGGGAGTGCATACAAAAGATATACACCGCTCTAGTACACACACATTATATTTAAACAGCTTCTACAAACACGTGCAAAATTCACACCACAGACTATAGTGTACCACATGCATGTTCCTGGCAGGACGCTCACTCCTGTGTTCATGCTCTGTGTGTGAGCTGCACACTCATGTTAGAGGACACATGTGGCCACATTCCAGCCAGGAGAGCAAAACTTTCCACAGGAAATATCCTGAATGCCAACCATACCGGCGAAAACCTTGAAATAATAAACCAATAAGAGATGTTTTTGCGCTGGTCCTTTAACTGCTTCTCATTTAGAGGGGCTGATGAAAGGGCCGCGCATCATCAGGAGAAATGTGTTTGTGTTGCCATAACCCTAGACCTGAGTCGCGTGTGTAAAAAGGAGCACTATGCAGCATTTTGTAAACATTTTATGACATAAACAGCGTGGTTGAATTTGGTATGTAATAAAAACAGTTGATGCCCTTAAGGTGGCACAGAGTTCTCTTTACGTTCAGTGCGCAGTTGTTTGAACCTCAGATGGAATGATGCTGCTGCAGCAGCAGCAGCTTTGAGTGAAGCTCAAAACCAGTTAACATTGATTTGACCTCTGCTACTGGTTGAACAAACGTATATCTGTTCTTTATTTATATATCTCTGCTATCAAAGGCTCCAGGGAGAGTGTCTTGATTGAACCCATGTTTACATACCTGTTTATGTGGTTTAACTTTTACCAACAGAAACCCCTCTCTTTCACAGTACTGGGCACAGAAACACTGTTCTAACTATCGTTTCGGTCCAACTGAATTCTCTCCAACAAAACCACTAAAAACTCTTGGTCATGGTCTCGAATATGTCATTTATGAAGTGTAATGAATTACGTGGTTTTACCATAAATCACGGTTTTCACTTTGTTGACAAAAATAACTTGAACTTTCTCCACCAGGGCGAATGCACAGAGTAATGATGCGTTGCTTTTGTGGCGTCTGTGGCCTCTGCTGCTCCCTGTTGGTCAGATTGTTCAACACATCTACGAAAGTAAGAGCAAGTTCTGACTGTCTTTGTTTTTTTATTGGGTTCCAGATAGTAGACAACAGTCTGTTTCTACCAAGAAACTGTTTTGAAGCATGAGATTGACGGAGTAGCACCAAATGCATTTATTACATAATACTTATTATTACAAGAAGAATAAATCTAAGCTACAAGTTACTTCAGAGATAGCTTAAATATTTGACATTTTCCCAGAAATCAAGTCAAATCAAGCTGTTCCACTATAGCCATAAATTTTATTTCACAGGGTCAAAAGGTACAGCATGTGTTTATTACCACATAATATCCCGTTTGTGGCCGTGATCCTACAACTGATTTGAATCCTGTTCATGAGACTTAAGATCCAGTCAAGTGAGGACACGGTGGGGAATGATTTACAACCACGTCAGCTCCCTGTAAATACTTCAGTGTCTTGGATGTTTCTAGTGATGGCTAATCTGTCCAATTAAACGTCATCTGTCTTTACCTTTTGACAAATGACGCTGAGGTTAGTGAACGCTGCTGCTGCCAGCAGGGACTTGTTTGACAAATCTCTCTGTGCATTAATTAAAAGAATCTGCAGCACGACATGGATCCCGACACAGAGGGCTTTGAAGCTGTGGTGTACAGGACGGCTTACACATGGATACACGGAGAGGGATTTGTTTAACAGAGGCTGCCATCTTGTGCTGAAATGTTTCCACAGCAACCTATATAATTAATTCGGACCAACAGGAACGAACCACACGAGTAAATACCGGCCTTTTAGGGACAATTTTTAACAGGCAAAGTTAGCCCAGTAGATGGCAGTAATTCTTACATTTATAAGACTGATGGCAAAACTCAAATTTTCAGGGCTGTGGGGATAAATGAAGAGTATATTAGTATATTAGGAGTATATAATGTTTTTATTGCATTATTTAGTTAGTTAATGAACAGTGACACAGCAGAATGAGTTTGTATTCCAACATGTCTCATACCCCCGGTTAATGGTTTCAGGTAGCAACTGTAAGAGTTTGTAATTCTACGTAGAACATCAAGTTCTATGTAGAATTAGAAACTCCAGACAGACTGCATGACGTCAGGTAAAGGTTTCTTAACCTTTGTTCATGCCGTCTCTTCCTTGACTTCTTTGACTTCGTTGTTCTTTAGACTGAAGATAGTTCTGAATATCATTGGTTCGATTTGGTGTCAGTCATGGCAGTGCGTAATGGATGAATACAGAATCAGTCAGTTCTTGGACGTAAACGTTTTGTTTTTAGCTACAAAGCAAACAGTGTACTCGTCAGTATATTTTAATTGCACGAAAGCATTCCATGGCTGGTCATCTGCTGTATGTTGTTACCTGCATTGACCACAAGATGGTGCTGGTATCCAGAGCAGCATATCACAGCGCCAGAAAAAGTATCTCTCTGTCGGAACAGATTTAAATACTTTTATATCACCTTAGCTTAAATGGCATGTAACAACATTGATTTAAAAAAGCTTTATTTGTTGCTATAAACGGCTATAATTACGCATTCTTGGTAGTTGTTTTGCATATGACGCCATTTAAAGTAGGTAAGAAAATGTGTTTTGTTTTTCTTGTACACAGGTGATTGAAATCCGAGTCGTATGTCTTTAATGTTTGCATATACCAGGGTATATTCAGTGTTGTCTTCGTTGTGATAATTATTTATGCCCAATTTCAAATGGTGTGATCAATATATATATGGACATACCTGTAAGTTAACATGTTTTTTTCTATCTGAAGCTATACGTGTGACTGTGCCCAGTAGCGTTTGTGAAGGTGGAACCTGATTGGCTAGACTAGACTACAGGCCGAATTAAAGGGACAGTTCAGGTTTTTTTTGTAAGCATCGTGTATGAAGTACTGCACTATGAACTGTGATGAAGTTTTTGGATTAAGATGTTTCATATATAATTTAGTTCAATAGTTCTATATATTATGTTTGTCTGACTGAAATTTGATATTTAAAATTTGTTACCTCTTATGTCTGTCTTTAGAGACACTCAAACGTTTTAGCTCAATAGTAACATTAGTTATGGTAGGTAAATAACCAGTAACATTTCCACATTTTTCCGGCAGCACTGAATCATCAACACATAAATGTAAAATCCCAGAATGTCCTTTATCATCATTCAAATCTTTACAATTTTAAAGTAATTTATAAATCTTTACCTGCTTCCTTTCTGTAACACTCACAAGTACACTCGACACACCCAAACTATGCCTACGAGGCAGCATACATTCAATGCACTATTAATTTAGTTTGACCCGAGTTTCAACAGGAGAACATCCCATTGTGCCAAAGATTCAAGTCGTTGCACTTCTGAAACATCAGATCGCAACCATTTACTGCTAATTAACTAAGCAGTAAAAATTACAAAAATGAAAATGTGAGCCTGTGTCATGTGTCTTGTTAGGAAGTGACCCCGCAGTGCAGTTATTATAAGGCTTAATTCCTGCACTAAGTGATTATCATTAGAGGGCTGCAGAATCCACCTTATCATCATCATTAAAGTAGGCAAAACCAGAACAGAACGTTGGAGCCACAGGCAGCCGTGTAATTTAGCAATTTTATGATCTGTGACACTGCACCAAAAATGCTAAATGTTTCCTAATAAAACAACAGTTTGGCTGCAGGGTGACAGCAATCCTTCTCTGCTTTGTTGAGATAAATTAACTTGTAAAGGGATATATATCAGAAACCTATTTACAATATAGTTTCTGTGATGCAGTGTGTGATGCTGTGCTGGTTTATGAGTACTTCAGGCCATTTCCCATAACATTAAGCTTTTTTATTGCATCTTGAAAGAAACTTTGCCTCATTAGTGCACATAAGAAAGCGTTTCCCCCTTAATTTTCAATAGAGGACTGGGACGCGTGCTCTCTCTCTCCTCTCTCGCTCTCTCTCACACACACACACTCACACACATGCACTGGCTGTAATTATGCTGCTCAGTAAACGTGGCTGTGCATGGAGTTTTGGGGTTATAGTTTTCAGCCCATAGTGAGATTTAAAGCTCCACATTTATTGGTCCAAAGCTGTCAACAGTAAATGTACCTTATAAACGTACAATTGTTTGCACATTGAAGTAATTATTCAGCAATGAGACGCCTGAAGTCTCTCACCGGCAAAAGACTTCAGTCAAGTGAACTAAATGTTTCATTAAATGCAGTTAATAATAGCTGTGGCGTTATTGTTTAGACAAAATAATCTCGTTGTAAATTGGCAAAGTGTGTACACGTGTAAAACAATGGTTAAAAAAAAAGCCAAAACAGCCACAAAATCCAAACTTTGACACACACCATATTTCCCTGTAGAGCAGTGTTTATGAAATATTTAAAGTATCCAGCCTCAGGACCCACATTTTCTTGAGTCATATTTAAACCGATTATTAAATTTCTTTTGTTTATTAGAGTCGTTTAATGTAGTTTTACACATTTTAAAACGGTTTCATGGGAAATCTGAGCCCTCGTTTGTTTGGCTAAACTCTCCAGGTTTGATGGTCGTCTGGCCCAGACCCTGGAGTCCAGATCACCCCACAGATTTTCTACAGTTTACGCCACGTTACGTGGAATCATTTAAAAAAGTTCTTCACTAGTGGTTAGGTGACGTCATAAGGTAAAAAAACTGCTTAACATGTACAAATTATAATTCCTACACCCTGACCAAATTCCAAGTTAGATTAACTAAAAAATAAATCTCCCAGCAACAACCGCCAACCTCTCTTTAACTGTGGAGAGATGTTTCTTTAGGGCCAATGCCTCTCCCTCTGTACAAAATAAGAAAAACACACAGAGTGTTGTAGTTTTTCTTACTGCAGAGTACACTAAGCTTCATGAACGTGTCCACTTCCCCCTGGTTTTCCGTAGCACATACTGTAACATCTGTCTGGTTTAGAAGAGTCCCTTGTCCTAAAGATGAGTTTTTCTTGGTCTGGAACCTTGCAGTCCGATCCAATGACTCTTAGTGTCTTTTTTTTGCTACTCCAATTCCAACCTGGACTACGTCATTCACTATAGGGTCCTGGCAGTTATTAAATGGTCTTTAGACATATTTTCTTTCTAATAATAATACTCTCACCATGTGGCTCTCTATTCGTATTTTATTCAGTGTTGGTCTCATGCTTTGTGAGAGCAACGATTCTTTAAAAACTTGTGACACCTAAAAAAAAAAAAAAAGATCTTATGGAGAGCATTTCCAAAAAGAGAAACCAATTTAAGCAGGAACACCAACATTAAAACAATACATTTTGCACTGCACATTAGTTTGTGCAATTGCTGTAATTTCATTTAAAGAAAGAATATTTTATTCATTTAAATTAACATAGGTTCTAAAAATGTACATTTGTATAAAATAATTCCCCAACATGAATTTCTCAAAATATTTTTGACGCAGTCAAAAGGTTTCGCTAACCACCTGCTGGGAGCCGTGTTTTTAGAATCACCGCTAGTGGGGAGTGTGGGGAAATGATGCGAATCCTAAATGCAAAAAAAACCCTTTATTCTGATATTCTGCGATATTATAAATACACTTTTTTTAAAAAAAAAAACGAGTGCATGTACGAGACTTATGTATTCCCCATCACGAAGTCTAAATATATTCCCTGACTCTCAGCCTTTGGTCTAAATTCTACAGAGGCTGGATTTATTGCACGCTGCTGCGTAAACGTGTCACTATTGTAACATATTTGTAAATTCCTTAAATATGAGAACATCTGGTTTCCTGCAGGAAACTGCTTTTTATAGCCGCTTTTCCCCCTTTAACTAAAAGCGGCCACGATAAATTGGTGTTGATGTCTATCAGAGCGGCGACCGAACAGTGATTTACAACATCCACGCTGCGTTATTAATAATATTTACAGCATATGGTTATGAGTGGCTGGCTGCCATCCCACCATGTATCCGCAGCCAAGCTGCACAGAAGGTGGCGTTTAGGAGGTTATAACACACCGTGCACGTACAGTCATTTTAATAAAATTATTTTTTTTCCTGCATGGACAAGAATGAATTTATTGTTGCACAGCACCTGTTTTCTCAGAGTTAACGTGTTGCATAAATTAAATCTTTTTTTTTGTAAATTTCAAGCAGTAAAAAAAAAATCCCCAGTGAATTTAAAACACTGATTACGAGCAGTCAATGTATTTTATCCACGCTCTATATATTGTGCACAAAATCCTCTGATTTATTCATGCGCAAAGAAATGTTGTAAATGGATATTTTAGTGCAGGTTTAATTTCATTGAATGACTTCAGACAGTCTTTAAATGACTGTGAGTGTTACTCCGTCTTTGAACAGAAGGTGGTGATGTGGTGTTTGAAAGAAGCTGATGGACGCACGTCTTCCTGTCATGTCACAGCGTTTGTTTTGAATCATAATGTTGAGGCTAGTTTTTTTTTTAATTGATGTGTATTGAGACAATAGTTTGGTAGTTTAGATCCAAGCGGTCGTTTTTATATCACGAGATCAGGTCTCATTTTGTTTTTATTTAAATTAAATTCGCTCAAAATACATTTAAGACTTTGTGCTCATAAGATCTAACTCAGGATTATAGGTTGGAATTTTACGAGAAATTCTAATGAAATATGGACGTGGTTGTAGTTGATACTTATAGCGACTGAGGCGAATGTCGAGCCAAACGACAACGTGAATTTTGTGACGAATTCACGTTAAAAAACGTTTCTAAAAACGATCTAATGATGCCCGAACCATGTGTGAAAATAACATATAGATACTGGAAAAAACTAACTTATTATAAAAAAAAAATACAATACAAATTACATTTGTTGTTCTTGGAGTAATCCGCAAAGAATTGCATAAGGATTTAAAAGGAATCAAACAGGTGAAGTGCTCGACAATAAAGTAAATAAATCAGTATTAAAAAGCCAAATAATAATAATAATAATAACCCAATTTCAAACCCTTGGACAAAGTTAAAGACAGACCATTCCCCCCAACCATTCCTGTTGATCGGTGCCACATATAAACCGCTTTCTCCGGGAGGATCAATGGGTTTGTGAGCGGAGTCAAACGGCCTCCTGTGATCTTTCTGGATGATGTAAACAAGTGAGTTTTGTTTTCTACTTGACTCCTGGCAAGATAGAGAGCCAGGGGTGGGGAGGGCGCAGAAGAATGAAAGGGTTTTTTTCAAAAGAGAAGGACGGATCCCCTTTGGCTCTTTTGTGTCAGGTTTCTTTTTCTCTTCAGATGAAGCGTTCATCCGTGTGATTTCAGCGTATTGTCGTGGGGATTATGTATTAATTCGTGTCTCATGGATAAACAGAGCAGCTCGAACAGTCGAAAGGAGATATCGACGGCAGATACTACGGTTAGGAGTAGAAGTCGTTCCTCAGACGGGTGGAGTCAGGTCATTTGTAACTGGTCTTAAATATATTGGTAATAAATAACCTTCCCCTGTGAAGTGAAGCAGTGCTCGCAGGCCTTGGCTGAGGAGGAGGAAACCTCAGAGAAGAGCTGTGTGTGTGTTGCCCGTCCCAGTCCCCCGTTGACATTTTAGGAATGATAAAAGTTCCGCCTTGCCTGGAGCTACAGCCTCGCTGGAGCCGGCCTCAGTCTGCGGCAGATTGCCTTTGCTCATTACAGCAATTATTTTACTCCAATTTAACCCCTGCCTGAATGGCAGCAAAGTGGAGAGAAAGCCTTTTTTTGGAGTGGCCTGTAATTTCCCCTCTGTCTTTCTTCTACGCTGATCCCTGCTTTGTCATTTGTCTCAGGTCATCACTCGCTCAAATACACAAACACACGCAGGAGGTTCGAACCGGTGTGATGCAGGAATGTCATGTGTTTAAAATGTGGAGTGGCACATGGCTCCTATAACACCCTCTGCCCTGATAGCTAAAAGTCACCTGGATCGTTTTACACCCCTAAACGCCCCATAATGATACTCGGGTGGATTGTTTACAAGCAATTTAGCCCTGGAGAAGTAATCTCCAGTATTTATCGGTGTGTTTTTGAAGTCAGCACAACTGCTTGTCAGTGTGTCACACCAGTCCAGCCCCTAGTCTTCACCCCCCCCTTTACCCCCCCTCCCCTCAAAAAACACAAAAAAAAATCTCCTGGCGCCAACAAAATCTGGGTTATTTGTTTCACAGCAATGGGCAACAGCTGCAGCAGAGGAAAAACATTCCACAAAAACATGTCACACGTTTAAACACAGTCAGAAAAGACTGACATGATAATTATAATCTGAGCCAAACGGGACCTTTTACATCTATATTACTGATACCTATATATATATATATATCACTAAATAGGAATATAAATAAATGTATTTGATCAATCACATCTCTCGAGCTAATGTTTATCAAATATGAACACGAGTTACTTGCGTTCATCTTTAGGTCAGTGATGAATTTTTATATTTTGTATTTATTTTGTTGATGTTTTACTTAATAGTCAAGTGTTGGTGCAGCAGACACCGTGCAAGTGTCAGTCAAAACGAAAGAGGTTCTTCTTGAAAAAAAGAATAAACAATTTATTAAGTTATGTCACCAATATATTCATAATATAAATGAGAATATTCTTCAAATATACATTAATTTTACAGTACACATATCCCTTCCGAAGGGAATCATTTTGACAACAGACGGTGCTGTTATTTAAAAAAGAAATTAGAAAGGAATAAAAACAAAACAAATGCTGTGGTTCTCCAAATTCACAAAGAGCATTCATTGACACTGGTTTTTAGTTTCGCATTAATAGAAATGCAAACTAAATTGTACAAGTATAGCATTTGCAGTGTGACAGAAACCCACCAAGCAGAGATCAGTGCGAAGGTGCGCATCACTGATGCTCCGGAGTAGCCCTTCACCTGGCCGTGATCAGCATAAAGTCAGCCACCACTGCTGCACACACTGTAAGACACACACTGCTGTGCATACTTGACTGTCCATGATTTCTCATGCAGGTCTATAGTCCTTTGGATGGTTTGCACCTCTCTGCATCACAAAAATATCCACCTTGAGGTCATTTATTCTCACGCATTTATTTCTCAGAAATGTATTTTTGTCTTCCAATCTCGAATTAAGATTTAACGATTAGGAGTAAATGACTCGTAAAGCTGGATTGTTTGTTTTGCAGAGGGTGAACTTACTGGCATGGAGTGGGTAAACCTCTGGGTCCTGAAAAAGGACGCGGAGTGTTCTGGCTCTCAGTCCCGGTGCGACATCGAGCCATGTCACTGCAGACAGCCGCCTCACCCACCTGTCCGTCCGTTCCCTCACCTCACTTCGGGGTTGTCAGAAAAGAAAGTACTCTGCGTGCGTCCTGGTCAAGCCAAGTGGTACATACTGTATCCGACGTGGGCCGCGTACAGTCCCACAGGAGAAACCGGCAGCGAGTGCCTCTGGAACGGGTGCGAAGCTGCGTAGGACGCGGGGACGTGTGCGCCGAGTGGAAAGGAAATCCCGAAAGCTGGTGGCAGCATGGGCTTGGCTGCCATTTTCAGTTTTTCCAGCTCTGCCTCTTGTAGCCGCTTGGCTTTCGCCCTCCTGTTCTGAAACCAGATTTTGACCTGGGTCTCCGTTAAGTTGAGGGAGCTGGAGAACTCTGCGCGCTCGGCGATGGACAGATACTGTTTCTGACGGAACTTCCTCTCCAGGGCCAGCAGCTGGGATGTGGTGAACGGCGTCCGGGGCTTTCTGTTCGTCTTGTGTTTTCGCAGAGGGCAGGCGGGAGGACTCAACCTTCCTGTAAAAAAAAAAAAAAAGAAAATTCATATTAATTTGAATCCGTTTTGTTACAGCGCGGTATCAAAACAGAACAGTACAGAGACGGGATTCCGTTAGCAAATAATTCAGAAGCTTGGATTACGGTGCGTAATGCAGCGCGTAAAAGTCACTTTTCCGACTCTTTACTGCACTCCTGACATATTTATGACATAATGGCATATCATTAACGAACCGATATCTGCTCAAAACGATGCAAACTATTTCCTCCTCTTCAATGACAGCTTAACTGTAGAACTTACGTGGAGGCGTGGGTGAAAAGCGAGGACTCTGTAGCCACGAAGTTCTTTCCTTCGTGTCCGGGCTCTCGGGTTTAATCATCACGTCGTCTGGCATGTTCATGATGTCACCCATTGGAAACGAAGCGCTCATGGGTAAGGCAGGAAGTGAAGTATCCAGACCGCCGAAGGAGCTCACCCGTGCGCTCTTTCCCAGCACCTGGGACGTCCCGGCCACGGACGCGGTGTCCGGAGACGGCACCTCCCTGCTGCTGGGCTTCCTGTCAGCCATCAGCGCCTCCACACTGAAGGGGAGGATCGCGACTTTGGGCTTGCCCGTCTCCTCTGTGGGACTCAGGCTGGTCTGCATCTCGTCTCTGCCGAGGAGAGCCGCGCGCGGAGATAGGTCTTCGGTTTTCAAACCAGCGGTCAAAGTGGACATGACGGTCGATGGGGCCATACAGGTCCTACTGGCACTAGGAGGCAGAATGTGACTCGTGGACGGTCTCGTGCGAAGAGCTTTAAATCAATGCGGCTGCTGTTGTGGTGCACCCTAAGGTGACGGTATCCTCATGTTTATGTGACCAAATTGGAGCGAAGGGACGTAATAAGGCAGGCGTGGAGTCAGCAGCAGCCAATCAGAAGTTAGGGGGCTGACCCTTGTGAGAAATGAAGCAGGGAAAAAAAACACTGGGAAAGTTAACAATACTTGGTCTTTCTAAACATAACCAACCTGTTTTGAACATAAACACAACAAACTTTAAGAAATTCCAAAAAAAACCCTTGAGAGTCAAACAAACATATTCAAGACCAGAGCAATAGTCCCATAAATTAAACCAGCGGAGCTCTTTGTCACTAACTAAGTGACTTACTAACTTAGTAAGAGAAAAAGGCTATGTAAAGGTAAACTCCCATTTTTGAACTAATTATTGATCAATGTATTATATATACTTGTAATAAATCAAGCTAATTTAATAGTGGTTGAAATTGGAAAGGTGTTTTTTTATCACCTCGGACAGAGACTTACTTTATTTGATCGAAATTATATAATGGTGTCACTAGTTATAAACTAAACTCTTAAACTCCCTGTAGTGGGTGCTATAAACACAATTCTAATACATTTTTCACAAATGCGCAAGAGTAGTAGTATTGATTGCTTCGTGAAAAGTACCTTACACTTGTTTTAGTCACCAATCACGGATGGCGCCAAACACTTGCAGCAGGAGTATGACGTAACATTAAAACCACGTGGATCACAATAAAAAAAATCCACGTTAATAGTCAGCTCTAAATAAGAAACAATTTTAGCTGAATCACAAGTTCCATGCAAAAGAAAGAGACACTATGAAAACACAGAGGACGTGTCGTGTTCCCGGAGATAAACAAACAAAAGCTCCATAAGCTGCATTTCCTGTTTTCCATCTAATTACTGTGAAGATTAATTTTAAACGATTTCATGGGAAATTCCTGCATACTCTACTGTTAAAGTTGACCCACGTGATGACTGTGATAGCGCATAATCATGCTGTGCGCACAGGAGAAGCTCGACAGTTTATTGCAGCCTCCTTTCTGTGAGACGGTCGTTGTTCAGCAGCAGTTTATTGATGCCCTCGGGGATCTAAACAGATTGAAACACACAGGCCTAAAGAGTCATTTAGGGCTTGTTATCAGGCTGGGGGCGGTAGAGGCGGTGATGTCACTCGGAGTCACCTTCTCCCCTCGTCGATTGCAGTGTTGGGGTGTTTTACCTGTAGACTGTCAGTGATTTACCTGCGTGCTTCCTTTGTGCAACATCATTTCCTGCAGTAACTGTAAATAACCTTGACCAGTCTGATTAAATGCGTGCACGAATTAAAAATTATGATTTTTTTATTTTTTATTTTTATTTTATCCAATACTTCTGCATCAAATCCACAGATATTTCAGTGCTTGTGACTTGTAACATTAAATGCCACGGTGCCTTTTTGTGCCATGGTGTCTTCGGTTCTCAGACATGGGTTGCATCGTTAATTGTCAAGCCTAAACAATCTGTCAAGATTTGTCAGTCTCTCCCTTTAAAGGCCAGACAAGTTATGTTGTTTTAAGGCGCCAGCGGCGAGCGGATCAAAGCGCCCCGCTCTCTTTTTTTTAGGGGAGACTATTGAAAAAAGGTTGAACCCTCATGCACTGGGAGCACGGCACCGCCTCCTCCTCCGCCTCCTTCTCTATACCCGCCCTAGCCCAGGGACACTGAGCCATTCAGCCTGAAAAATTAGCTTTTTCTCAACCGATCGCACGCCATTTCCATCTATTCAAATGAGCGCCATGGTCTGCCGTAATAGTAGGCGCCTCGGGAGAAAGGTCAGCGGCCGATGGTATAGTCTCTGAGGGTGCTCGGCTGAAAAGGATTACTCCCAGTGTGAGTGTTTCCGTGAGATCCACGAGACCATATGATCAGTCTGAGGAGGATGTTGCTGAATGTGTAGAAATCATGCTTTTCACCGTGGATGCGCACAGTTTGAGCCAAGAACTGACTGTAATATGACTTTATAGGTGTCCTTAAGAATATGTTTCCACAATCTTTGTAAGCATCTCAAAAATATATTGATTGGACTTTCAATGTACCAGCCTATATATGAAGGTTTAGGCTGGAATTTCAGTTATTTAATTTAGGTTTGATTACCATTTGTAGTGACATGTTTCACCACCTTGTCTTCTCTCTTCTTCATCTTCCACATCTACTTACATAATGAATGTGCACAGGAGAACAACATATGTTATTTCCTATAGTGGGTCATAATAGGAACCTCCTTTTAATTTAAAACTGGTCTGCCTGCAGTCCAGATCTGTGGTCTATTAAAGACCTCTGAGCTGTCTTGATGAGGAGCATCAGACAACAGCCACCACAGACCGTTACACAGCACAACTATTTAAACCATGCAAGTGGCTTAAATTATTATTGCACAACTGCACCAATATGACCACCTGTTAAAAAACTATTGAAAAGTGTAGATCAGTGTTTCCCAAACCTTTTTTCTGGGGACCAGTATTTTAAAAGTCATGAACATTCACGACCCAGATCAATAGACATTATTCATAAACATGATGCGAGACAACCCAAAAACAATCTCTTCTGACCCACCTGAGGGTCGCGACCCAGTCTTTGGGAAACAGTGCTGTAGATAATAGGAAAGGATTCCTGAATTAGTAAACTTCTGCCTCTTCTTACTTTGCAGTTTAGGTTCAGCTCCTGTAGTTGTATATTACCTTATACATATACTATGTATGTGTATACATGTATGTGTGTTCGTTCTCAATGCAAGATTGTCTGAAATGAACTGTGTTTGCTGACGCAGCTTGAGTCTACATAAACACCTGAAAAGCCTTAACGGTCCCGAGTGTGATCGAAGTTTTTCGTTTGTTATGTAAAATTATTATTTTAAATATAATGTATTTATATATATTAAATACATTATATTTAAGAGAGCAGACCAACGTCTTCCCCCGAGTCCATCCATCACAGACACACACGGTTTGTTAGAAACACACTATAAACTCAGACCAGGAGGAGAATCACACACCACTGACCACGGACTCTTCAGCAGCTCCGGCTTTTTAAACAGGAGTGATGGACGGATGCGCCGCTTGTAAACATGCAATAATGTCATCTGAATGGTCACCTTAGTTCTCGCGTGCACGTGCACGTGTGTGTGTTTTGGTGTTTGGAAACACTTAAAGCCTCTAACCTGGGACGAGTGGCTTCGCTCCGAGGTCTTTGAAGTCACCAGGAATCTCCGGGCTCCTGCGTCCGTCTGAAGTCCGGCTCTGCTGGAGGACTCGAACACTTAACCCGGTTCCCCTTTCAGACACCGATCGTTAAACGATCGTGCGCAAACACAAGTGGATACACGTGAGACGCATTAACTAGCGTTATTTGCTAAATTGCGTGTGTTCGTGCGTGTCTGTGCGGCATGAGCTCCATGAGATGTGAGGCTGCGTCCTAAATCACACTGATGCTTGACTGCAGCGCCGTGATTTCTCTGCTGCCTCCTCGACCAGAGGCTGCGGCCCCGAGCCAAGGACGCCCCTACCAGAATAAGAAATTATTTTGCAAGAAAAGAAAAGGGGGGAAAAATAATGACAACATATGAAAGTGTGTGCGGTTTCTCATAGTCTCTTACACGTCATGAATTCAACCTAAAGTGTCATTTCAACGATATACTGTCCATCCATTTGTCATCCATCTATCCAGACACTCGTCCTTTTGTCAGTATAGCTGTTGATGTTGTCAATATGATTCCATCAGTTTTATTTTCTCTAATAAATGC